ATGTTTTTTTTTTTTTTTTTTGTTCTTTCTTCTCTGCCCTCGTCTCTCTTTCTCTCTCTCTCTCTCTCTGTCTTTATTATTTAACATTTTGTAATTTTTTGTAATTTTTGATTATTATTAATTTGAGAATATTCGAAGAAAAATTTATTTTACAACGTAAACGAATTAATTTTCTTTACGTTTTGTTTTTTTTTTTTCGTGATTTCTTTTTTTTTTTTTTTTTTTTTTTTTTTTTTTTTTTTTTTTTTTTTTTTTTTTTTTTTTTTTTTTTTTTTTTTTTAAATCATGGCGTAGATAATAAAAACAAAAAAAAAAGATGTCTTCTCTTCTCCTCTCCTCTCTTCTATTCTATATTCTTCCCTTTATTGTATCTCGTGAATTATTTTTACGCCGAACCATTGACTTCGGTTCGCTTATCCCCCATTTTCGCGTAGGCGACATGGTTTCTGATTGACCTTAGACATTTGCCTCCACTTTATATAATGAATCTAGCTAACACTCATTTCTGCATAATTTTAAACAACTTGGAAAATCGTCTTCATTCCTCACATGGCAGCATATATATATATATATATATATATATATATATATATATATTCTCTCATAGTTCTCATTCTCATAATTCTTATCTCACATTCAATGAAGGATTAGAAAAAGCCATTGATCATGATTATGTTTCTTCGTAGTTTGTGCCGCATATTACTGGTCTTCTTTTTTTTCTTCTTTTTTTTTCCTTTTTTTTCTTTTGTTTTTCTTTTTTGTTTCCTTTCATTATTTCTTTTTTTTTTTTCTTTTTTTTTTCGTTCTTGATCCCTCTCCTTAATTTTTCTTTTTTTCCTTCTTTCTCTTTTTCTTTTATTTAACAATCGTGTATCTTTCTTTCATAATTTATGAATGACAAATTCGTCTTAATGTTTTAAAAGTTTACGTTCGATTAACATAATAATAATAAGAATTAATCTTGGCAAAGAAGATGATCCGTATTGATAAAGAGAGAAAATCATATTTTATCGTTGTTATCAATGGGAGTATTATAATAACATTTTTATTAACTGTCAATAAACTGTCGTCGGATTTGTATTAACGAGGCAAATCAAATGTGCGTTATAGTAACTTCCTATCCGCATGTATTATTCAAAAGAATACTAATTAGAATTCACAATAATATATAAGAATGTTCGACGTATAAATAGTATTTTATTATGATTATAACATCCTTATATACATTGTAAACTTCAAAACATTTTCAAACGAAAAAAAAAAAGCCTCGATCAACTAACGCAAAAAAACTCAAATTCTAATCGGAATTAATAATAGATAATCAATAAGGATATTGAAAATGAATCAAACTACATATTTTTGAAACGATTGTAATTATTTTTTTTTTTTTTCTTTTTTTTTTTTTTTTATAAAAAGAACATTCTATCGAAATATCATTAAGAAAAATCATTAGATAAAAAAAAAACAAAAAGAAGTTCGATTAGCTAATGAAGATTATTAACAATTAACTAATACAGATCGTGTATAGATCATTTGTGTAGATCATATGTGTAGATAATCTAAAATCATGTATGACGGTGAAACAAACGATGGGTCATCGTATTCGATATTACGAGAGAGAAAGAGAGGAGGAGAGAAAGAGAGAGAGTGAGAGAGAGAGAGAGAGAGAGAGGGAGAAACGAGTTCGTTTGAACAGCTGAGACATGTAATGCGGATGCACATCTCGCTGCTGTTTATGCGAATAGTATTGAACCATCTGTTTGGTATACTGCTAATAAGAGAATCCATCAGGATATGTTTATTGCGACTTAACTTTACTCCGGAAACGTTGCCCGCTGGAAGACAACTTGTTTTTGACTTAAG